TGGAAGGATCACTGGAACCCAGCAGGTCGAGGCTGCAGTAGCGGGGAGCGGCCACTGCACTCCAGTCTGGGCGACAGAGTGAGACTCCAACTCAAAAAAAAAAAAAAAAAGATACCCAAGATTTAATTAGGTTGAAAAGTGGCAAAACAAGGCTTATATAGTATAATCATATTAAATAAATTATAATGTATATATATTAGTATGTGCACAAAAAAAACTAAGGAGGTATACACTGAACTGTTCACTCCTTGATAGGCATACCAAGTATTTTCTGGGGGCATCTCACTGGCAGGGACAATTTTAAGGAAGCAATTTTTCTGACCCCCCCCCCCAGCTGCCATATAATATGCCTTCCTCAAATGGGCTCTCTGAGTCCCTTTTATTTATTTATTTATTTTGTTTTGAGTAGGATTCTCACTCTGTCCCCAGGCTGGAGTGGAATGGCATGCTCACAGTCACAGTAGCTTCAACATTCTGGGCTCAGGCAATCATTCCTTCTTAGTCTTCCAAGTAGCTGGAACCACAGGCACACGCCACCATGCCAGGTTAATTTTTAGTTTTATTGTAGAGACAAGGTCTCACCAAGTTGCCCAGACTGGTCTCGAATCCCTTGACTCAGGCAATCCTCTCACCTCCGCCTCCCAAAATGCTAGGATTACAGGTGTGAGCCACTGTGCCAAGCTTCTGAGTTCCTTTTAAAGGGCAGTTGTGTCTCAGCAATAAGGACTATTGAAACCTTAGTGGAGCTTTTGGGATGACAAGATGATTCTAAAATTAATATGGGAAGGTACAGGAATTAAAAAATAGTTGCTAAAGCTAGAGGACCAACACTTCCAGATATCAAGAAATTAGATATTAGATATTAAAAAGCTCAGGCTGGGTGCAGTGGCTCAAATCTGTAATCCCAGCACTTTGGGAGGCCAAGGCAGAAGGATCACCTGAGCCCAGCAGGTCGAGGCTGTGATGGCCATGAGCGTGCCATTACACTCCAGCCTGGGGAACAGAGTAAGACTCCAATCCAAAAAAAAGAAAACTTAGTCATTAGGGTTGTGTGGTGCTGGTGCAATGGACAGACTAATGGATCTAGAAGCAGATCTACCATACACAGACCCTTGATTTATGAAAACAGGTGCCACTCAGTGCAGTGGGGGATGGATGGTTATTTAAATTATAGGTTTTGAGCTGCGCTCGGTGGCTCAGCCTGTAATCCCACACTTTGGGAGGCTGAGGTGAGTGTATTGCCTGAGCCTGCAGGTTTGAGACCCACCTGGGCAACTTGGTGCGACCTCATCTCTACCATAAATCAAAAAATTAGCCAGGCAAGGTAGTGCATGCCTGTAATTCCAGCTACTTGGAAGGCTGAGGTGGAAGGATCGCCAGAGCCCAGCAGGTTGAGGCTGCAGTGGCCGAGAGTGGCCACTGCACTCCAGTCTGGGCAACAGAGTGAGACTCCAACTCAAAAAAAAAAAAAAAAAAAATTACAGGTTTTGGACCGGGCAGTGACTCAAGTCTGTAATCCCAGCACTTTGGGAGGCCAAGGTGTAAGGACTGCCTGAGCCCACGGGTTCGAGAACAGCCTGGGCAACGTGGCGGGACCTCATCTCTACAATAAATCAAAAAGTAGCCGGGCTAGTAGCGCATCCTATAGTTCTGGCTACTTGAAAGGCTGAGGTGGAAGGATTGCCTGAGTCCAGCAGCTGGGGATGGCTGTGAGCAGTGTCCCACTGCACTCCAGCCTGGGCAACGGAATGAGATTCTAACTCAAAAAAAAAAATTACAGGTTTTGGGTCAGGTAGATAGTCATGTGGAAATAAAAAGATCATGCACTCCTACCTCCAATTCATATAAGAATCAATTCCAGGTGAATTAAGTAACTGTGTGAAGAGTAAAAAATAAAACTTCCTTTTTTTAAACATGTAAGAATAAATACACAAGTTTTAATAAGTAACTTCCAGAGGTTCTTTTGGGTTACCCCTCATATAGTCTATCCTAGCATACATTGGCTTTCTCAACTTACTGCATAAAATTACCAGGAAGAAAAAAAAGTACAAGATAAGGTTTATGGCTAAATCAGTTCTATGTCCTAATTCCCTATCCTAGCCATCTCAGAAGGATCCCACCTATGATATGCACCTATGATATGATATCCCACCTATAAAATGCTGCAACAAAAAATAAAACTTATGGCGAACAATAAAGGAGAATATCTTCATATTTTTGAGGAAGGGCAAAAGTTTATTGAACAGGACACAAAATGTCTAACTGCAAAAGAGAAAATTAATAATGTGAATTTCATTAAAATTAGCAACTTGTGTCATCAAAAATAAGTCAGGCATGGTGGCACATGCCTGTAGTCCCAGCTACTTCGGATGCTGAGGTGGAAGGATTGCCTGAGCCCAGGAAGTCCAAGCTGTGGTGAAGTAACCCATGTTCATTGTTATTATACCACTGTACTTCAGCCTGGGTGAGAGAGTGAGACCCAGATTCAAAACAATTTTTTAAAAAGAGGTAAGACTTGAATAAGGTTTCCTAAAAGAGACTATCCAAATTGCCAATAAACATTTGAAAAGGTGCTCAGTGTCATTAATCACCTGGGAAATGCACATGAAAACTACAATGAGATACACTAGCAGGGATTAAAAAAAGACACTTATCATGTGTTTGGTGGGAATGTGTTTGTGAGAATGTCCTGTTCACTGCTAGTGAGGATTGATACAATCATTTTGGAAACCTCTGACCCAGCGATGCCATTCCTAAAAATGCAGTCACATGTTCACCGAAGGGTGTGTGCAAGGAAGTTCTCGGCAGCATTCTTCATAATAACCAAAACCAGAAAGCCACCCAAAAGTTCATCTACAACAATCTAGTCATACGATGGAATACTATAAAGCAAAGAGAATGAACAATCTACACAACCACATAAATGAATCTTGTACATGATACCGAGCAAAAGAAGCCAGATACACAACAGTACATATTGCATGACCCTCTTATATAAAAGTTTAAATAGAAACAAAACATCTGAGTTGATTGGGATGGTGGTCACCCTCAGCTTGAAGGCTTGGAGGAAGGAGAAGTTTAGTGACTGCAAGGAACCCCAAGACAGGCTTCTGAAGTCTTGGTTCTGTTTCTTGATTTGTCTGCTGGTTATATAGGTATGTTTACTTTGTAAAGTCACTAATTGTATAGTTATAAATTATATACTTTTTTTATTTAAAAACTTTTTTCTGTAGAAAGAGGGTCTTGCTATGTTGTCTAGGTTGGTCTCAAACTCCTGTACTCAAGTGATCCTCTCACCTCAGCCTCCCAAAGTGCTGGGATTGGAGGTGTAAGTCACTGACCTGATTTGTATACTTTTTCTTTTCTTTTTTTTTTTTTTGAGTTGGAGTCTCACTGCCACTCAGTCTAGAGTGCAGTAGCACGCTCATGGCCACCACAGCCTCGACCTGCTGGGCTCAAGCGATCCTTCCGTCTCAGCCTTCCAAGTAGCTGGAACCACAGGCGCGTACCACCATGCCTGGCTAATTTATTCATTCATTCATTCATTTATTGTAAAGACGAGGTCTCACCAAGTTGCCCAGGCTGGTCTCAAACCTGTAGGCTCAAGCAGTCCTCTCGCCTCTGCCTCCCAAAGTACTGGGATTACAGGTGTGAGCCACTGCACCCGGCTACTTTTTCTACATGCATATAAATAAAAAGCTTATTGAAACAATAGGTAGATTAAACTATTTATCCTGGTGGGAGTGAGAGGCTTCTGGGGGTACTGGGAATGGTCTACTTGATCAGGGTGGTTGTTACGTGGGCGAGCTCACTTCACAGAAGTTCATCGAGCTGTAAATTAAAGCATGTACATTTTTCTGCATGTATGCTGTATTTCAAAAAATATAAACTGTCTTCAAAACACTTTTGCAGGGCATAGAAGCTACAAGTGTGATGACATCAGTCCAGATAAAAGAACATTGGTGAGTATCCTCACCAATGCTTCTAGCTCTAAGCCTAGGTTCCTCTCCCCCTAAGACCAGACAGGAGCTCAGTGTACTTCACAGGCAGTAGGTCAGACAACTCTAGCACTTATCCTTGTGCTGTCCTGGAGGCCTGGTCACTGTCTGGATTCACTGCAAGACGATATGCTTCCGGAAGACAGGGCATATGCCCTGCTCAGAGTGGGTGCTCAGTCATATTTGCTGAATGAATGAATGAATGTCTTATCCATGGTCACAGAAACAGGGTTCAGACATAGAAAGTACACTGGACTTTTCTGACCCCTTGTCACCTATTGTGACACACTTCCAGAAACATCAGTGTCACCATAGGAAACTATATTCATTGTCAGCCTATCACTGCTATTACCAAGATACAGAAACAAACAGATGGGATAACTGTGTTTTGAGCATATCTGATGTATTCAGCAGTCTACCCACAGTGGGGCACTGAGTCAAATAGGCCTGTTTCTGCTAGAGTAAGAGAACGCCTTAGGTCAGCAGATGCTGTGAACAAGCTGATAACAAGGACTGGGAACTATCCAGTTGTGAATTCCCAAGTCTGGCTGCTGGCCAGGGCACATGGGAAGCACTTGATAACAATCTCCGCCCTGGGTGTGACCTGTGCCTTGCAGATAGGCACTGGTTTTCACTTCTGGAGCCACAGTGCTGTGATCAACACAGGGTGAATAAAAAAAAACCAGGAAACATAACCAAGAGATTCCAAGAATTTTTATGACCATTTAAAGAGCAGAAAGTTGCATATTAACCCCTAAATAGTAGCTCTGTATTGCTGAACCAATCTTCTTACTTCTTGTCCTGCCTATGAGACTCATGCAGGACATTTGGGTCTTTTCTATGCACTCCTAGGAGCACTAGTGGAGTAGGCAACTGAATAAATGCCTAGCCCTCTAGGTGGGCAGCACCTGAGGGTGGGGTCCACATCTACTTTTGCATCTTAGCTCCTGGCTGGGGAAAGTGCTCAGAGAAGGTTTGCAGAAGGGACTGAAGGGTACTCACGGCCAGGAAGCCCAGCTTGCCTCCACATCGGGTCTTGAGCCCCATGGCAGCAGTCAGATGGATCTCAACCAGTGTGCTTGGTGGGATTTTCTCCTCTGCACATTCAGCCAGGTTCACAGCACACAAGGCCATGTGTACATCAGAACATGCAGATCCCACAGGAAGCTTCCCTAGGGTAGACAGAAGCAGATACTAACACTGACAGATCCCTTAAATCAAACTTTTCCTGCTTTCTCTGGCACAATCAGAGTAATAGTGGAACCAGAAGAGAAACTAGGTGAGCTTGGTGATTGGACAGAGACACTAGCTGTGCGCTCCTGTCTACTTCACAGGGTGGCTGGGAACATGGCACCTAGTTCTGTATAATGAGCACTAACATTATTGAAGGTCACTGTACAGGACTCAGAGGTGAACAGTGCAACATTTTTCAAAAAGTGTCACCAGTATAGTCACATTCTGCTAATATAGTCCTGTGCCTCCAAACATTTCTTTTTTTTTTTTTGAGATGGAGTCTCACTCTGTCGCGCAGACTGGAGTGCAATGGCCGCTCTCGGCCACCGCAGCCTCGACCTGCTGGGCTCCGGCGATCCTTCCGCCTCAGCCTT